CCCCCCCCCCCCCCCCCGCCCCCCCCCCCCCCCCCCCCCCCCCCCCCCCCCACCAACATTGGAAATTTTTGTTTCAATTTTACTTCGATTTGAAGAAAATAGGAGAGATTTTTATTGATTTACTCCGATTTTTGAAAAAAAACCTCCCGTTTTCAAGCAACCCCCCTATATTTTTGTTGCTTCGCCCCGTCCCTGCATGTTCCTTACATTGTTTTTTGGAAAAAATTAATTATTTTGAAAGAGTAGAAATTTTTCATAAGACAGGCGCGTAACTTTGGAGAAAGAAAAAACTAGAATAGCTATAATAACTTGAATGACTTTATTTCTCATTTAGAAAAGAGTAAGAGTAAGAGAAACTCGTATGGTTAAAAGAAAATTGAGCCTATCTTTCGCAAGTATATATCAAGAGTCATTCATATCCTAGCACATATTTCTGTGTGAATCTATTACAAATACCAAATATTTCCACCAACATCGTGAATAGGTTCGTATAGATTTCCTGTCCGTCATATAATTTACAACCTGATTTCAATAGGAGACGATTTTCTTCTGAAATAATATTAACTAATATTCGTATTGAACTGTAAACTCTGGTTTTTCCACAAAACTGAAATCGGCTTTCTCTTCAATAGTCTACTGGTTGCAATCCATCAACATGAGAAAAGTTTGTTGTCATAACATTGATGAATATGAAACTTGCGTCATACATGAATGCATTGTTCATCCAGAGCAAGATGACATGTATTAATGAGAGCCATTACCAGAGAAAACACATTTTTGTACGCATTATCTCTTTGGTTGCATTTAATCAAAACTAGCGTGTAGCGAATATTTTCTAATGCACATATTTCATTTTAGTTTACAAATAAGATTGGACAGTCTCACCCTTTTTTTGCTGTCTTATTACACGTAGCACAGAGGGTGTGTTGATTCGAACAAATATTTCCATCGGGTAACATGAATTCATCGTTTTGTTGGCAATTATATTTTTCTCTGGTTTAGAATTATTTTATTTTCAAGAGTATGTTTGAATGTATTTTTGGGTTTTGCATTTACAAGAATTGTAAATCACGTCTACTCTTTACTAGAACGATGCATACGATAGATCATTCAAAAGGACAGAAAGTTCAACAAATAATCGAATCTATTATTGTTTTTTTGCACTGCTCGAATTGATTTGATACGCTAAAATATGATTTTACGTCACTATAGTATATTGTTACACATGAATTCAATCTGGTAGATGATCATTTATATGTACAGTTCGTTCAGCCATAGTCATAGAGAAAGGAAATACTTGAGAACACATAGGACATTTGTCGTTTACTTGTCCAGACGAGGGCCATCCAGTTAATCGATGGTGCATAGAAAGATTTCTAAATGAAAAAGAAACATACGTCGAACACTTTGTTTATCTGGTGTTCTTTTTTTGTTTTTCACTTATTTGAAGGTGATTTTTGAAGACATTTTACTTGCTGTTGTTTTTCTATTGAATGTTTGTCAACAGTCGTGATATTGATATGTTTTTCAATGTCAAATTTTACAGTTATGATGCGAATATCGGGATACTTTATGGCTTCTTGTTCTTTCTTTTTAAACTCTTCTAATTGTCGTTTTAGCGCTTCAAGTTGTCGATGCGTAACATCTCCATCTTTTAATAATTCTCTCAGTTGTTGACGCATTTTTTCCAGTGATTCTAAATTGCTAATTACTTTTTGAGTTAATTCATTTTGATGAGTTTTTACAATAGTTTCAATTTGACTTCGAGCTCGATGATAAACAACATCAATATGATCGTGACAATCAGCACGCCATTGATCAACTTGACTGTATACATCGGTGAAGTAGTGCGGAAAAGATTTCGATCGATTTTTATCACCATGATTCAGACGATCGTATATCGAGTTCACTTCATCAATAAGCGGATGTAACTGTTCTTGAATGGATTTTTTATGTTCTAAATAATGCTTTGTACATACATCTTGGGAGCAGTGATAGCAGTAAGTTTCTGCTTCTCGTTTACAAGTTTCTATCAAGCATCGTTTAGCCATTTAATGCAAATAATAAAAACAATCACGGCGAACACGTGCAAAAGCAATCTTTCAATCTTCGCTTTTCTTTCTTTTTTTTCTGCAACAATATCCGAAGGAAAAATACAATGACAAAGCAGCGTTGAAAATTCTATGAGCAGAACTCTTCGATTCTCTGTGCATCAGTTCAGTAAGCTCGACATGATATTCCCGTGCAGTCTTGTTCCTTTAGAATGAGTATTTCTAAGCAGGGATAAATCAATTACATTTGCAACGGCTAATTTGAGATAGAAAAGGTTTTCATTCTTTAAAATATAAGCTAAACGCAGATTTGAACAGCTTCAATCAGTAGAAAATGCGGAAACATTGGATTTGCATCCGATTGTTATGTGTACTGCAAAAGCTGAGTCGATTTATGTATGTTGTGAATAATACTGAGAAATTCTTGATGGATCTCTCTCATCTTCAAACTTGACTGAGATATTGATGAGATCATTCTGTGTACAACATTTCATGGCAATTGGATCAGCCTTTCAGGAGCTATCGTGTAAACGACCGGACACACTGACCGATTCTATAGTGTACTCACTTTTGTTTTTTGAGTACAAAAAACAACTTCTCCTCATAAGTCTACAGATCATCCTTATTCTTTTTCATAAATTCATCTATTAAGTTTTAAAAAACGTGACAAGCCAAATATTCGATCACTATGATAGAGAATGTACAAGGAAGATTCTCGAGTCTGCTCATATATACATTAGTCAGCAAACTACTTTAGCTTAATAATCTAACCCATTCGCGAAAATATTTTGAAATGATTTTTACTACTGAAATAATTCCAATACAATTTAGCGATCCTAAATCTGAATATAGACATATGAATTGGCTATCAGCTACATGGTATCTTTGTGTATTGAAGGTGTCAATGTCGATCTGATCTTCATACACAAGCCTATCAGCGAACGCAACTAAATCAACTGTAAATCGCCTCGTACTCTCCTAGAATATCTTATTTTATAAATTTATTCATCTTTTATTGATCATATAAAATATTTAATTTAATTTTTTTCTTTCTGCATAATTAGATTTGATTATGTTTGCTTGAAAAAACTGAATAGCAACGCTTTATGTTTGTTTCTTCAGCCATTTAAATGCATTTATGTCATTGCCTTTGTTCTTGCTCTCTTTTTTTTCCAGAATCGAGTGATGCTGCTGGCGACATGCGCTACCGCCTTGTATGTTTACGCTGCAAGCAGCAATGCCGCGGTAGAATATTTTCATGCAATAAAACAAAATGTAAAAGAACAAAACAATGATCAAAACAGATATTTAGCAATGTTGAAAGAAGAGAGAAAAAATTGAAATAAAATAAAATACTTCGATAGAATGAATAGAGCAATGCGTAACAGATATTTAAAGATGCAAATTTGAAGTCGAAGAGAGAAAGTAGGAATTTAACAATATAAAACCGAATAATTGGTTTGTCTGATTTAGACTAGATATGATCATATTTTCAATAAATAGAGAGTTTGATTTTAAAATTTAGAACAACGGAAGGATTGTGTTCTAATAAAATTTGAGGCATTTATTTTCATTTATAGAATATCGGAGATGAAGTTAACTAATAAAGTGATTAAGATTTTTCTCTTATATTTGTTTTTCACTGATTTGAAAACCTGGTAAAAACAGAAAAATCCATTCGCCAAACTGTTGGCCTGCTTGTAAGGTTTAAAAATATATTGAAAAATGAATATTTACTCTTAATCAATCAATCTTGTAAAATTTCATGTGATGTTCCGCATCAATTAGTTTGAATTACTCATATGTAAAGGCAACTAACACCCCTCAATTTTTATTTAACATTCCATTCAATTATCCTCTGATTTTCAAAGCACAATGACTTGATATTTACACTATGGTGCCGAAGATAATAATAAATGAATAATTATGAAGACAGCATTTGTCGCAATAAAAGTTCTCTTCAGTTATTTTAGTTATTTTAAAAATAGAATGCGCCGATAGATATCGATTGATAATGACATGAAAGTTGAATATTTCCTACGACTTTGGCACTCGTTACATTCACGCACACTAGAAAAAAAGCTATGTTTGTCTATCTTTATTCTGCGAAAACTATAATTCGATGATGATTGTATGAGCAGAGATCACATTATGGATGAATAAATTTTATATTTGCCGCATTTAAAGCACTCCTAATGTATTCACTTATTTCTTTCTTTTCAATACAGACGTCGTGAAATAATTTCTTTAATATTGAATTCTTCATGAATTCTGAATAATTGTTATATGTATTACCGCAATGGTGATCGCAATTATGATAAATATTCTATTCATCTATTGTAAACTTTTAAAGAGAAGAATTTTTAATTTACTCTATACTAGATGATGATGAGATAGACGATGAATTCTAAATATAAATACATCCAGTGCAAATAGCTGAATCATGAGTAGCACGGCAACGAGACAGATTTTCACATATTTTACTCATTAAAAAGTCTCCCCGAAGCGCCAATAGAAGAAAAATTGATGGCCTGATATAAGAACAAATTTGATTAACACAAAGTATTTGTTTACTCATGATGTTCGATATAACATACAGAATTTTACTTTATAATATAATCAAATATCGCATGGAAAGTGAACAGGGACTAAAAGGTGTATTTGCACATTTAAAGTGTTTCGGGACTTCCTTTTCCTTGAGCTTTGGTAGTGGTCTCGATTGTTGTATTGGTTGTTCAGGTTTATCTAAACATACATATATATATATTTAAAGTAAGCTATACTGTATTATCAAGGAAAGTTATTCATTCCATATTAGCTTGAAAACCTGTTATACTATGTGTTCATAAATCCACATGCCCACAAGAACATTTCTTTTCTGCTGAAGCGATCAGAACTATGCAACATTTTACTTACTTGGCTGCCCTACCATATGCAGAGTCACTGAACCATCATCTTCAGACACGAGATATTCTGCTACACCTAATTTTGTACCCGGCCATACTATATATTCCTTTGATTGATGGGCTGTATAAGCAGTTGCTGCTCTTGCATCAATCAATCCATAACCAACGAGAATAATCTTTTTACCAGCATGTTCACGAAGAAACTCTTTAAGCTCATCGGGCGCTACTAAGCATGAGCCCATAGTAGTATAGACAACTGGATTTGCCTCCAGTTTATCCATGAATCGATGATCAAAGGCAGCCCCCTGCCAAACTTCTTTCTTTGCATTCGGTAATTTGTTAAGTCCACTCCGGAATAATCTGAGATACTTGAACCATGGTTGCAATTGAGCTCGATCTTCAGACTTCCATGCTGTCTGCAAATGATCAAAGACACATTGATCAGCCCATCTCATTGTATAAATATAGATAGCAGCTGATTCGTCACGAGTAAGATTGTGTTCGGACGGAAAATGGCAGCGGGTCTTGGCTTCTTTGATGTTAGCAGCTAATCGATCGATTTGACCGTGAAACGATTGAAGAGCTTCTTCGAGTGACACAATTGGTTCGTATTGATAGCCATCAATAAGTTTCGACTGATCGTTCTGATTGATACCAATTTTAAGAGACCGTTTTAGTGCACCATCGTCTCGAGGTGGCGGATCTATAGTTGTCGGCTGTACAACTTCATGTTTAGAGCCACAGCACGCAGCACCCATGGTTATCAAGAGAATTTACGAATATTACAGTGTTCACCGTACTACTATAGAAACGAGTGTCTTTTTGTTTGTAATAATTTTACTTTCACTTTGGCAACTTTAAACAAATGGCAAGAACGAGAAAAACATTCAATTTTTTATGACATTGTGCACTATCGATGTAAGTTTTATGCAACTACACACTATGTAAATAAAAACGTATGTCCATTATTCGTGTTGTCACTTTATAAATGATAAAAGCAATATTTACATTTGAAATTGGCAATGCCTTTTGAAAATTTGAAAAAAGCAAGAAAATATTTTATTTTATTTTTCTCATTGAAAACCAATCCAAGATATAAATCGTATACGTAATGTTTTCTATGAATTTGTTTTGGAGATTATCAAGATATCTCGTCTCGCTAGAGAGCGAGTTAAGATAAATCCAACGGATTAAATTTTCAATCATTCTATTCGGAGAGGTATACCTTTCAATGTGGAAATACGTCGATCGACTATGGTACCTTTAATTAATTTTCTAGCGACCTTGACAAAAAAGTAAATATCTGAAAATTGCAACGCCTACAATTTTTGCAATTGTACGCATACTTGTAGGCAGAACGGGTTCGAATCATTTTTTGTTTTTTTCGATGATGTACGCAAAACATTTTTCAACTTTCATTTGTTTGTTTAATCGCTTTTAATGCCTGCCTCTGTTGATATTTCTTGTTACTCACTGTACGACTTGTATTGAAATGATTCGAAATTCAGACTGACAAAAACAAACTTCTTAAATCTTGAGTAGTAAAGCAAAGTATTTTATAGTTGCACAGGCGGCGTTCGGGTTCAGAATTGTATTTTCTGTCTGGAGATTTGCTTTTTGATAATACATAATTGAAATACTTGCGTATAAAACATGAACGAAAAGAAGATTACTACAATTAATAAGGTATCTAATGGAACAAAACCTAAGCAATATCATCCTATTAATCAAGGCCAATCAGCAACGAAAAAACAAACAATGTCCATTGCTTCGCTATCACGATCGAGTAGTAGTAATACAATATTAAATTCTTCGGAGGATTCATTTTGCATTGAAAGCTATATTCTCTTCTGGTTGGATACGAATATTAATCTAGATGGTGATGATCATTACAATGATACTATCAAACAGTTACGATCGATCGTAAAAAATATTCACGTATTTAATCATGATGGCGCATGCATTAATTTTCTTAGCAAAATCAAGCATGAAAAAGTATTGATGGTAATATCGGGCCGAGTTGCTCAACAAATTATGTCTCGTATTCATAATGAATCTCATCTGAAAGCAGTTTTTATCTTTTGCGAAAATAAACCCAAATATGAATCATTAGAAAAGAATTGGCCGAAAGTCCAAGGTATTTTTACAGATATCGCAGCTGTGTGCCAATCGCTACAACAAGTAGTAAATCAATTTGAAGAAGATTCTATAGATATTAGTTTCCTCGCGGCTAGCGATATTTCCGCTCCAAGTTTGAATCAACTTGACCAATCATTTATGTATACACAATTAATTAAAGAAATCCTAATTGAAATCGAATACAATAAACAGAGTGTCGATGATTTCCTTGCCTATTGTCGTCATAAGTATTCGGATGACACGACGGTCTTAGACTCTATTCAACAGTTTGAGAAAGGATACGGCATTGATTCGTCCATATCATGGTATACGGCTGATTCTTTCATTTACAAAATACTTAATAGGGCTCTGCACGATCAAGAAACTGATGTTATTATTAAGATGGGATTTTTTATTCGGAGTCTTCATGAAAATATAAAGCAACTTCAATTGCATCAATTGCATAAGTTTAAAAATGAATTTGTTGTCTACCGTGGCCAAGGCATGATGCCAGAAATATTTGAAAAACTGAAAAAAGCAAAAGGTGGATTGATTTCGTTCAACAGATTCTTGTCGACAAGTACAGAACAAAGTGTCGGTTTAGACTTCATTGAAAAGACTTTGGTGAGACCGACAGTAACTGGTATTCTTTTCACCATTAAAGTTAATCTATTGGTTTCATCGACGCCCTTTGCCGATGTTCACGAGTACAGTCAATTTAAAAAAGAAAAGGAAATATTATTCTCGATGCCGACTGTTTTCCATATTGATAATATTTACATTGACAAGAGCAAGCGATTCTGGCATGTTCATTTGACATCAACAAGCGATAATGACGAACAGTTCCATCATCTAACTGAACGCATGCGAGAAGAAATCGAAGGACCATCGGCACTATATCGATTGGGTGCATTGATGATAAAACTCGGAGAATTTGCCAAAGCTGAAGAAGTATACGAAAATCTGCTCAATCGAACGTCCGATGAACACGAAAAAGGACATATTTATTATCAGTTGGGACAAATCAATGATAATCAAAATAAACATGTCGAAGCACTTGAATTCTATCGGCAGGCACTTAAAATATATTGTGAAAATCTCTCGCCAGATCATCCAAACATAGCTACTTGCTATAACAACATGGGTCTCGTATATGATAATATGAAGGATTATGGGAAGGCATTATCATACTATGAAAAAGCAAACGAAATCTATGCGAAACATTTTCCAGATAATCATCCCAATATAGCTAATTGTTGTAATAGTATCGGTTTGGTATATAATAGTATGGGTGATTATGAAAAAGCACTTTTATTTTGCAAAAAGGCACATGAAGCATTTAAAGCAACTCTTCCAAAAATTCATCCAGTATTGGCAACTTCACATAATAATATGGGTCTAGTCTATGGTAATATGAAGAAGTATTCCGACGCAGTTACTTCGTATAGACTTGCAGTTGAAATCGGACAACAAGCATTACCTCCTCGACATCCGAATCTTGAAGTTTATAAAAGAAATCTTGAATGCACGAAAAAAAAGAAATAAATGTTTATTAATAAAAATAACAAAATGTAAATTAATGCAAACATTGTAATTTATGCTCAATACAAAATTAAAAAGTATAATCTACGACAAAAATAGATTTTCATTCTAGAAGATCCCATCGGTCATATATGGCATACTGATAGCTTTCGTATTCTATTACATTATTTATAGTTACTTCTGCGAAAAATATAAGTTCAAGTTAATTTTTATTATTTAAAGTTAGTTACAAGGACATCTATCTAGCTTCTGATCTTGATCGTCATAAGTTGAAAATTTTATTAAAACTTCCTATCGCTTGACAGTCGTATGTGGATTGTTTATAATTAATAGTTTTGTATTGAAACAGTATCAAGATAGTTGGTTTCTCATCGGTCTTGTAATCTATAATTGAGAAGATAATACAAAAAGAAACTATTTTGTCTTATTCGCTGGTATCCGTTTGTTCACTTATCGATGATGCTTGACTAATTGTACATATTGGCGTTCGTAACGGTGTCATAGGTGATCCTATCAGCCTTTGCCGTCGTAATCTTTGATTTTTCTGATAGAAGTAGCAGCAAATTTTACGAAAGATAATCGTATGTTGAAATTCTTTTCAATATTTTCTGTTCGGACAAACATATAAGATAAAGCTGAACAATGGCGGAACAAATAATAGAAGTACAAAGGCTATATGAAAACGAAATCGCAATTTGTTTGAATATGGTATACATGTTTTTAGTAGATGACTGAGTATTCCATGTGGAAGAATACAAACAAGAAGACAAAGTGGTGAAATGAAAAAAATCTCGATGAAGACACAATTCTTTGAACCACACACGAAAAAATTTATTCTCAATGCCACGAATAAATATTTTTCGACGAGCTATTGTCGTAAGAACACATAGTGAACAGAAAACATGTGCAACAACATGAATATAAGAAAATATAATATCGAATCTACCCCATGTTGGATATCGCTCGAAATCATAAATACAAACCTGATTACCCATAAGATCAGTGGAGAGAGGACGAATAAAGATTTCATCCAGATTCGAACATGTTGCATAGACAGTAATGATTATCGGAACAACCAATTCACGTTTTCGAGTTCCATGAATACTAACATTCGATAAATGTACGTTCGACAGCGATGGCTGCAGTGAATAGAATAGCTCCATCATTTAAAATAACCGATACATACGGTATGAAATGGCAGGCCAACAATCGATAGATATCATTTTTGTGTTGTGCGATTGCTATTAAATAGGTCAAAAGTGTAAATGCAAGTGTTATGTCGAATGCAGAGAAGAAAATCAAATAAATACCGCATACGGTACAGCGAATTCATTCATTCAGGAATGTTGTCAATGCTAGGATATTGTTGATAAGTCCGAAAATTCCCAAAAACAAAAAGACAATTAAAAAGAAATCTCGTATTGACATAACATCTTCAGTGGTGGCTCCAATAAGAGGTAAACGACCTGCATTATAGCTGATCTCACAGAAATTACCTACAAAACAGCCATTTACAGATGTACAACTGCCAGTCGAACTACAATGACCACCATTTAAGCATACCGATGTATTTCTATTGTCGGAACACATCAGTAGAGTTAAAACAGTTTGTGCTGGAATCAAAAGAGCATATTGAATTCACGATAGTTATGTCTCTATGATCGAACAGACCCTTTTTTCCCTGCGTTCTTTTATACTCTGTCCGATGCATGATTATCCGAAGAAAAATCATTAGTGACGTATGACCTCGGATGCATGATGAAGTGTCATGCTATCTGCCGTAAGCCGAAAACAAGTACGTTTCATTAAACTATTAAGATGTAATAATACTTTGCATGCTGTACTGTTTTCGAATAATAAATTTACTTATGCCTTTATGAAAGTAATTATTTATTTGACAGTTAGAGTAAAAACATCTTTCTTTTTCACCGTCGTACAACACACGCTACATTAATATTCATATTTTCGCTTCTTCAAAATAATCATAGGTTTTAATGGCTCGTAAAAAATAATAATTTTAATTTTAATATATTGTAATGCTGTCAAGCGATTTATTAGACCTAAGTAGTAGGTCATAACTACGACGATAACAGTACAGTAGGATTAATAGCTGTGAGAAAGTTTGTTTTTAAGATCATGGCAAAAAATCAAATACGAAATGAGTTTTTTTAGTATTATTATTATTATTACTATTGAATAAGAACAGATTAGATTTTGTATGTCACTTCGACATGCGTTGGGAAAGAATTTTTGAAAATAAGAATAATTCTACACCTTTATATCATACGAGGATGTTTTCATCGTAATCATTCGATTTTATGAAGCATGAAATTTTTCTCTTTCGCATAAACAAATTTAACATTTTGTAGCTCTTGTAAATAAAAAGAACAAAATATGCTACGATCGCTGAGAGTCTACCCCAATATTCACAAGCAAAATCATCAGAAGATTTTTCCTTCTTATTTTTGCAACAATTCACAAGAAACGAAAACAAACAACGATGAAAAAATAACATTGCTGCAAGACTAAGTACGTCTCTACGATGTCAAACAAATCAATCGGCAAGTGCACATAAATAACAAAAAAGAAAACGTTAATAGTATATTCATTATCCAAACAAAACATTTAACAACAAGTTTAGTAGATCGAACAGCATAAACTTTCTGTTCCTGGTCGATTCAAATTATCGTCAGCTCTTCAAGAAATCCTCAGTTTAATAAGATTGAAGTAAAACAGTAATAAGTCATAAACGACTAATCTTAAAGTGTTTGTTTTTCTGCAAGATTACAAAGACAGTAACATATTAATAGAAACAATTGGCAAATAACTCAAGGTCAAATAAACTAAACCTGACGATCGTCTTTGTTTATATCATCGAAAGCTGGTAGCCAGGTTTTTTTCCAGGCCGACGCATTCATTTTACTCGATTACATTGAAATAAAGCGTCCAATAAGCATTCTTCATTATACAACGTTGTGATTTTGTGTCGCGCAAAATGACGAGTATTTACATATACTAGTTAATGGTTCAACAAGCATTTAAAACTTGAAACACCATGCTCTTCTATCGGAATAAATTAAGTAGTGCCCAACAAAATAAGCGTATTTGAATGAAAAGCTTATGTTAACTCAACTAGAAAAAAATTAATTTTGTAGATCGTGAAAAAACAAAAATTGACTTGATAATCATTGGAGAAAAAATTTTATGAACATAAAAATCGTCGCTATTGGAGTGTCATTATTTTTTTGAGAATTCTAAATAAATAAAAATACCAAATGAATTCAGTAATTCATTTTACTGAGCCAAAACTCTGATAAGCATAATAGCCTTTGTTTTCTTCTTATAGATTCTCTTACCCTTGAATCGTATAGAAGAAACTTAATTTTAATAGAATATCAATTTCATGTATCAGATTTCTATGAATTCGTTATCAAATATGTATGTTAAATGGTTTTAACTTATAACAAGAGTGTTTATGTTGTATACACAATTGAAAACTTCAATTATGCCATATGAAAAAAAATTATATTTAAAATTTGAACAACAAATTTTTATATAAAAAAAGTTCTTTAATTCGATTCGAAACACTTTTTTTCTCATGTAACACAATGAAATCTATCCAATCATCGCAACAAAAAGAAGTACTGTTGCCACCTTAAATTTCTTCTATATCGGTTCGTTTACCCTAAGGGCAACCTATAATTCGACTGTGAGTATTTTAGTTTAAGACGAAAGATGTTAACAAAAAAAAACATTTTCATAGTTACCCGATATTTTACTTCAAAATTTTTCCGTAGATGCCTTTAATGAAACCTTATCCTATCCGTTAGTTTTAAACGAGAATAAAGATTCAATTATGTTAAAACCCTTAAAACGAAATCAGAATTATTTAGCTTGCCGATTGCAAGATCTACACTATGTAGAATACAGGAATCTTGTATTATTCTTTATGTTATGTTGTCTTTTTATTACTGACATGATGAATGTGATCTTTTAAACAAAACAAAAGAAAAGACAAAGAAAAAAAAACCGAAGAATAATGTTTTTTAAAATGTGTAATTCGAGGCTGCGCGCACGTAAAGAGTGACCAAGAGAAACCAACAAACAAAAAAGAGAAGAAAGAAGATGGCGATCAGCATCTGTAGTACAACAAATAAATAGTAAAGAAAGAGAAAATGTGTTAGAGGCCAAAAAGTGAGAATAGAATATATAAATGCGTGGTTGAAACTTCAAAAAAAAAAACAAACAAACCAACATATGTGAAAATATGATTGATGGAAGAAATGGATGCTGATTGTCAAAACAATCTATTTCGACTAAAGAGAAAGAAAAAGAAATGCGATCGACCACATATACACTGTTCACAGATCGACGCCCCCTTATGTTAGAAATAAACAATTGACCGAAAAACTGTAATAGTTCGCTTTTATATATAGATATATAAAGACAAAAGAAAAGAAAAATTCAAGATAGAAAGAATATAATAGGAACAGGCACTGTACACTGAAGAAAATATATACGTACAAGATTATTTTTTAGGAGCACGTGCTGATGATGGTCGACCTGTATCTGTCCCGGTCTGTAATTGCTGTTTGGAATTATTCGATGTTGATGGTGGCGGTGGCTGAGTTTGATGGTTATCTTTCGAAGTTCGTCGATACACACCTGAAATTAAAATAAACAACTATTGATTATTTTCGGAAGAAAAAAATAAAAAGGAAAATAAAACAAATTAAAGATTTCAAAGCGTAAAGCAAATCTAAGAAGAGAACGAGAGATATTTATTTAAAGCATTGTAGAAGATCAAATGCGTGTAAAGTAATGTTGACAAGTGCATAGAGTACAGTTGAAAGAGAGATCTCATTCACACATTAAGTATTGATAATGACTACCTCTCTCTCTTTCTCTCTAGTATATTTCTGTTTTTATTCTTCTCTAGTTTTTAATTATTTCATTCTGGATTTGGTTGTTGGCGGTTCAGACTCATCGAAGTCTAAATAAAATAGAACATATCGATATTACATATATAGTTATTCATATCCTTTGTTAAGGATATATTAGATTTCTATGCTAGCAAAAAGGCAATCGGGAATCATAGAAGGAATAGGATAAAATAAATCACAATGATAGTCAAGCAGCAGCCGGTTTTTTTTTCGAGACATGCGGCTCACTCTGCATTAGTCGACTAAACACATTTGAATTCGATGATGTTTTATTGAGATAATCATTATTTGTATTGGTATTTTTACTATTATCATTGCGAGTTAAAAGTGATTTGTACAAAGTTCTATGGTTATTTTCATCATCATCATCGATATATTTGTTTGCTATTTGAGCTTGATCATCGGTCATACTTATCGATTGATCTTGAATTGTTTGATCAATAGTCATATCATTACTTTCTATTCTTATCATTTTAGATTTTAGTTTTTCAAAAACAATATAATAACGAACAAAAGAAAAATATGAATTTTTCCATCTGATCTATTAACTCACCTTGATTATTAGTACTTGTATACATTTGTTGTTGAGCATTACCGCTGGCACTATATCCATTAGTATCAGGTTTATTGGCTGAACCGTCATTAACACTGTTCGCATCGAAGCGTTGACCGCTCTATAAGAAGAAAAAGAATTTCGTAACAAATTCGTTATTTCTCCTTCAAAAGAACAAGAACATACAAATTTGAGCATATTCCAATCGAAGATGTAATCATAGGTAAAACCTTGTCGATGAAACAGATTACGAAATAATTGTCGTAAATATCTTTAAAAACAAATTCACGTTTTTTGAATTATTTCTATGATTTTACATACGAATAATCTGGTTTATCATCAAAACGTAATGAACGGCAATAAGACAAATATGTTGTAAATTCTACTGAAATGAAATAGACAAAGCACCGACCAGTTTGATCCGTTCAAAATAAAAATGTTTCTTACCAGGAAAGCCTTTACATAATTCTTCAATTGGTGTTGACATTTTCTTTTCACTGATACGTTCATATTTTTGACGTTTTGTTGCTGCTTTCAAGCCTTGCCACTGAAAATATTTTAATTAAATTAAAATTAAAACAAATTTCATTATTTATTTCAATCATACCGGAAGACTGCCGCGATTAAAATACATGAGTACGTAGCCAAGAGATTCCATATCATCTCGACGACTTTGTTCTAATAGAACAGAAGAAGAAAAAACATAGAAGAAAAATTAGATAATTCAGTTAGTATAATCAATATTTTCAAGTATGGAAATCGCTATAGATTTTTATCGAAATATGTTCTTAAAAGAAGAAGAAAATCATAGCTCGATAGAGATGGCAATCGCTTTTCTATACGAAAGAACAGTTCGAGATTACTGTATCTGTTATCGGTCTTTCGTCGTATAGACATTTACACATAACAATTAGCATGTAATGCTTATCACATAAACAAAACAAAAAAAAAGTACATAAGTCGTAACCAGCTGCATCCAATTTACATGATTATATTTTCGAAAATTTAGCTTTCCACAGGAGAAGAAAAAGAAAACCGAAGACAAACAAACCGATGCCAAGATGTGTATTGATCGAAGCATAACGTGCTGTGCCAGTTAAATTTTTATTTTCTCGATAGGGTATATGTTGATGTGTACGTGCATCGCGATATTTTTTTGCAAGACCAAAATCAATTATATAAACGAGATTGCCTTTACGGCCGATGCCCATTAAGAAATTGTCTAAATAGAATGCCATAAATAGACTAATTAATTATTCTAGAGAAGAGAATTATTTACCAGGTTTAATATCTCGATGAATGAAATTTTTTGAATGAATAAAATCAACACGGCTAACCTAAAATTAATCAAAATTTCTATTTACATAAAAATGCATAATGAAAAATTTTACTAAAGTATACAACAAATACATAGACGAAAAATTTCACCTTCGTGACTATCACATTGAATTATTTATTTTTTTATTTAATAAAACAATTCATATGCTTTTTTGCGTTCGTCAACTGTAAATTTAGAACAAACAGACACTAGGGATGATATTATCTTGTATGAAAAGACGAAAAAATAACTTTCCTAAAAAATAACTTAATTCAACTTTTGTTGATCTTCAAAATGCTTAACTAACGAATGCAAAAATTTTGACATCGTAGTATTATTTTTCAAAGATTAAAATAATAGTTTGAAACGATTTATTATACTTCTATCGAGATTTCTCGTCTAGGATTAGTTTAAATTTATTGATTATAGATCTTTCTGATGTTGTTCTATTATCTGATAGGAGTGACATACAAATGTGTCGTACCGACGTTAACAAAAAGATTAATAGGTCTGATAAGAAATGAAAATGATTTCGTGCGTCATTATTTGTCTTCGAATGCACAACTGACAAAAAAAAAATAATGTTGCATCTTTTCTCATACCATTTGATCAGCTAGCAACAGCACAGTTTTTAATGAAAATTTTCTTGAACAAAAATTAAATAAATCTTCTAATGACGGGCCAAGTAGATCCATCACAAGAACATTATAATCTCCTTCGGCGCCACACCATTTAATAACTGGTATTCCAACACCACCTTGCATTAAACGATAGATTTTTGATTCAATATGTAATTGAGGATGTTTCGTTCGTGAACTTTCAAGTTTAATAGCTACTTCTTCATTTGATGCTATGTTTGTTCCCAAATAAATATCACCAAAGGAGCCCGAACCGATTTTTCGTCCGAGACGATATTTATGGCCAACACGTAATTCCATTGTTGATGTGTTACAGAACAAAAACAGCTAACGACTAATAATTTAATATTTATAGACAAATGTTCATCATTTATAAACAATGGCTGTGAAAGAGATATAATGAAAAAAATAATAAAAAAATCTAAAATAAACAATTCAGATGATGCGTGGGTGCATTGAACCATCACCAAAGTTGCCCTCTGTCGTCTTTACAATTCTCTTCGTAAAGCAAGCAACAACATCAGTTGTTGCTTTCTTTATATATCAATGAAAAAAAGCCAATCAATAAGAAGAAGCGCCACCTATTCGATGGACTTTAACGATACGTGGCGCTGGATGTTTGTTTTATTTATTAGGAATAGAAGAAGAAGAAGAAGAAGAAGAAAAAAACATCATGACTAGATTGGTTATAATTGTAAATCAAAGATTTTAGTTTGTTTTATGTTTCTAATTCTAGCCTGAATAATATGGATTTTGAAGAAATTCGATTAATTGTCAGTAAAGCTATTGAACAGACTAAAACTCATCAAATTGACTTACTTATGAGGTGGCTTGATGGAGTACTTTCCAAATATCGTGAATCAACTTTACGTAAGTTTTGCATGTAAAAGAAAGAGAAAAAAGCCCAACTGGTATAGATTTAATTGGAGACATGTACGCAATTATATAAATATTTCATATACGAGCGAAACAAATAAAGAGTTCACCTTGAATATGATCGATTTTAATATGATGTAGTTTCTTCTATATCAATGAATGATACAGGAAACAGGAAAAAGTCTTTGCAAAGAATAAAAGATAAATATCGTTGGAATAGACATAAGAGGTTTTTGATAAGCAAAAAAACTTCTTTTGTCTGTTTGAAATTCAATTCATTTTTTTCTATATTCATTTTCGCAATAAAATAATTATCTATTACATAATAAACTTATTTTATTTTTTTTTGTAGCTTCGAATACAGTATCGGCTAAAATAAGTAATGATCAATGTTTTACATGTCCTTGTGGTCGTTCATTTTCGACCGAAATAACAATACGTGAAACCAGTAATGTCGAAAGCAGTTCTCCGCCAGGAACGCCACTGCTTTCAGTGAAAACGGATCTGAAAAATCAACAATATTCACATGAGTCAATGTCAAAACGACAGCGCGGCTTAATTGTTGACACACCTTCAATGACAGTAGCAACATTGAATTCATCATCATTAATTTCATCCTGGTCAACAGCAAATATTAAAAACTATGGCAGTAGTCCAGGTTAGATTTTGTTTGTTTTTTCAAAATGAAAATCAGAAGATTTTGTTATTTTTTGTAGAAGTAATGAATCATGAATTACATCGTACTGAAAGTGATATTGAGCTATCGAGTGATGAATCGAGATGTTTAGAAGACATTGACGCTGTTCTATCACCGGACAAAGCTGCAATATCGAATTTCATTTATTCACATGATTTATGGACAACACCGTCTCTGTCGAGTGCTGCAAATAGTACTATAACAAGTTCAACAAATAATCATGACGATGATAGACTTGAACATGCACAAATGATAACATTGAAACCAGTTAATAACGAACCTCTATCACCATCTCCTGCTCTTATTCACGATGGAGAGATGGGTAAAACAGTAGCAATTATTCATCGACGTCCAATGCTTGTAGCATTTACTGACCCGAGAGCTTGCTCACCGACAGGACCGACTCATTTCAAATGTACTCAATGCCATGAAACATTTGATAGTCTTCTACTAGGCCAAGATCATGCTAATCATGGCATGTGTACACCTGATGCAACCGCTAATGTATGTCATTGTAGTTTAATCTTTTAGAAAGATGATTATGATAATCTGATGTGTCAAAAATCTTCGTTGAAGATATTTAATCTTTTTTTCTACCTACTTCATTAGCAGCTGATTAGAACCTGAAGCAGTTGAATACCATCAAAATGTTACGGTTTTTATTTTGCGAAACATTTCGATTGAATTCAATATGATAAAACAATCCTTAAACTGATATTCAGTAGTGTAATGGCGGAGAATTCGGTGTTGTACAATAATCTTATATTTGAAGTTGAACCGTGAGGAAAAAATAAATAACCTCTATTTTGCGACAATCTTTCGATGAAACATATTTAGTAACAGTAAAACTTATCGTTAATATCTTCTTACCTTAGGCAACTTCACGAATGAAATCTCGAATTCAATATTACTCTAGTGAACTTTCAATTTGCTATTTGGGTTTTCATTTTTGCTAGTAAAATAATGGAATATATATTTTTCTTACTGTTCTAATAATGTTTTCAGTAAATCAGCTATAGCATCACTTCTACAGACAATATGATCTTTTTCTAATGTCAAATATTTTCACAGTGTTCTACATAAATAAACTTAGCTGTAGGAGTATCATATTACTTTAAGAGAAATATTTTCCATATGCATTAACTCGATACTTTCGCAATAACGAATATCATAAAAACTGAAGTATTGAATAAACATTTTTTCCTTGTAGTCAGATGCTTATCATGCAGACATGAATAGCACACATCAACATTTCAAAAAAATCTTCATTAGCATTCGTTTAAATTCATTATCTTCACACATGATCGAGTTTATTTAGCAGAACGCGAACATTTTCTCGATTGACAATTTATCACGCACAAGAAATACACTGAATAAGGATCAACGTTTGTAAGTTTATAGATGCACGTCACTATCAGTAGTAATGTTCATTGAAATCGACTCTTGTGAAACGAGTACATTCTGATAGAATTAATGTTGAAATTAATGCTGTATCGGTGAGTCACTAAAAATTGTTTGTATCGCTCGTTACTTCACGAAATAGTAGAAGTAGAAATTCGACCTCGTATATATATATATAATATACAGACCTGTTAGAAGTGGCTCATCGCAACCTATGACAGACATCACCATGGAAACGTCATAGATTATGTCAGTAGAGGTCCTAGCGACACCCTTCTGTGTTCGTCCTAGACATTGTTGTTATACGATGATAAACCATATATCAGCAATATTTCATTTTGACACATGATGACCTGTTACTTTACTGATTTTTTTCTGAAGTATTAGATAGAAACAATAGTGAAGAGATTTTTTTTCGTAATAGATCAAATAAAAATATTTCATTTTCTTCTTTAATAACAACCCCCACTCCATGTTTTAGAGTTAAATCGATATGAACTGCGCTCACAGCTATCCTATGGGAGCATTAATATAGATAATCCTTTTACTTATATTCATGTTTCGTAAACCTTTCGTGCATACTAAAATTGAATGACATATAATCTTTTGAAGAATACTAAAAAAAACAGCACATTTCAAATTAGGATATTTTAGAAATTACAAGACGAGAAAATGTATCGAATTTTTCTAATGAAAATATTTATTTATGTAGGCACCGGCGAGTTCTGATTCTCAACAATCGCCTGCTGTTTCACCATTATTTGATGCTTTTCAAGATGAACTGGTACTGTAAAAATACGATTGACTGTTGTTATTCCTATACTATTTTGTTATTAGGACGAGGGAATCACTACTCGACTTGACACGAAAGCAGCATGTCCAATTTGTAAGGACACAAAATTATTTTCTGTTTTGCTATTTATTGATTTTACAAATTTTTTATTTAGGCAATAAAGTATTCAGTAGTGTTCATACAATGGTTCGTCATAAAACATCAATACATGATCGACAAGTTCGATATGGATGCAATATCTGTGGGCGTTTCTTTTTCCGGAAAGATAAATTAACATCACATATGGTTTATCATCAAGATTTTGACACATATGTATGCTGTTTTTGTTCAGTTGGTTGTAAATCTCGTATGTTAATGAGACAACATTTAAAACGAGAGTAAGCATCTTTATTCCTAACGAATATTCTGTACTGAATATTAATTAATTTTAGTCATGTAATTTCAAGTGAAGACACGCGTCTAAATGATATACTTAGTCGATGTCAAGTAAAAAAATCACTTAATTTAGAAACCAATATGTCTGTTGCATACGGTGCTGATCGACAAATTGCATCGTTAAAACGAAATATAAATACAATAACAACTGACAATGATATTAAACAAACGGTCACTATTAGTAGTAATTAATTTTGTTTTTGTAGATAATCAGACGTTATACAGTGAGCGATGAAGTTTTCTCTTCTTCTTTTTCGTCTTCATTTTGTTTTGTTTACTGTGTAGTCTTTAGATATCTTATCATCTATTTACCGACTGTAAATTATATATACATTTCCTGTTTCTCTTTTTGTTTATATATTAAAAGAATTATTTAAAGAAAAAAAAAACAAATCTGACTATAAAACTAAAACAAAACAATTAATCGCCATCAAATGTGATTTGTCCGGGTCCACCACTTTTTATATAACGACGGTAGGCTTTATAGCGACCAGATTTACTAAGTTTTATCTTTTGTTCTTCTTCCTTTTCGGTTTTCCATTCGAGAAAATTCTCTTTTATCCAAACTTCTCTTTCCCATATTTGATGTTGTTCTTTTTCCGGCAAAGCTTCGTATTGTTCACGATTAATTTTTAAATTTCGACAGATTAAATGGATTTTTTCATCGTCACCTAATTCATGTTTATTGATATGAAATTTATAAAACCACCGAACATGCCATTTCAACGATAAAAATATGTAGTATGGAAAAAGTATTAATTGCAACCACAGCACACGTGTAATGCCTAATAAAAATTAGAGACTATGGATTAAGAACGTTCAAATTAACAACCAAATATTAGAAGTTCACTTTATGCGAATTTTCTTAATGAATGAGTTCTTACAACGTAAAATCCTACTTATTTTTATAGACAAAATTTCTAACTTACTTGGTTTTTTATAGCCACCTTTAATATCAAGATTTTGTTCAACAATTCGCTTTAAAATCGCTTCTTCTTCTTGTTTACTGATTGCTTTTCGGCCACGATTTTTCTTCGCTGACTCTCCATTATTATTTCCTAGCAGTCCTTGTTGTCGAGCTATTTCTTGTGCTTGTATACGATATTTCGGGACTGTTACCAGATAGTTAACTGCCGTATAATAATTGCTATGTTGACTAGACGAAGAAAACAAATATTCGGCTTTATTTGTAAAATTGAGAAATTTCTTCAAATAAACCTGTAATATTGTATTGCACTAATCACAGATATGAGAATAAATAAAACAATTCGAACGTCAACTTTTGGTGCATATCGATGTCGATAATAACGATAATAATGCGAATAATATCTTGAAAATAAAAATTTCGCATTCGATCGATGAAAATATTCAGCCAAGTAATTAACTTACTCATCTGGATTATCTAGCATTCGATCGTAATCAGTTCGTGTTTCTTCATCTTTTAAAATTTCGTAAGCATTTGCAAATGCTCGAAATTTTTCTGTATATAGCTGTTTATCGCTAGCAACTTTTGCCATATCAGGATGATATTTTCTAGCTAAAGCACGATAGGCTTTAACAATCTCTTGTCTACTAGCTGTTCGAGTTACATTTAACAAATCATAACAATTTTCACTGCCACAATAAAGACCATTTATTAATGAATCAACATTGATAACAAATAGACTCAAGAAAAATATTAGATAAATATATAGATTCATATTCGATCTGAAAAAAGAACATAAATTAATTACACATTATTCAAGACCTTTCGATGGTTCATCGAAAGCTTTTCGTGCTCGTTTTAACTCTTCGTTCATAGATAAAAGTTCTTTCACACGTGCATATTTTCTAGGATCATGTCGAAGTAAATACAGAATATCATTGACTACCATACGGCCTTGTTTGTTACTACCGATTTCAGTTGCTTTCAATGTCTATGGAAAGAAAGAAAGAAAGAAAAAAACGAAATCAAACGATTTACAAACCAAAAAACAAGAAGACAGATGATTCTTTTTTTACCATATCAGTTATATATTGTACAACAAGGTCTTCGAGTAATTCAACCGATTCAGCATAAGGTTGTGGATCATCACCGAAACCGTACATCATATTGCGAACTGAAGAAAAATGCGTTTCTTTGTTTGGAGAAAATAAAAACATAATTAACAGTAATTACGCTCTTTAGAAAATAGTCGTTTACGTGCATGGTTGTCACCACTTGTGCCACCTGAAGGTGACGGACGAGTAGACGGAGCATCATTCTATAATGATAACCTCTTTTCAGCAGTTTCTTTACTAGGAAAAGTCTAATTACACGTTTTTCATGAGACGCTTGATTGGCCATGTAGTATTTTGTTTTTATTTATCAATTACTTTGATCGTTTGATTCTTTTGCTGCTTAGTATATCGTGACTGTACGGATTCATAAAAAAAAACAAGCAATCGACTATTGGACAATTCTAGCAATGTTGTCGCTTCTTGTCGAATACTGTGCCTTAGACTGACATCTGGAGAGAAGCAATAGCAGTTAGTTAGAAATACAAACATTAGCGATTATCGGAAACGAGCTTCGAACGACTTACTTTCTTGCACGACGCAAACAAAGACAAATTTCGTTTAGAACTCACTATGCTCGTGAAATAGTAAGATATTTGATTCAAACTCTGAAAATTTGAAGATCAAAAATATTCCTATTCAAAGCATCCAGCACCTCATAAAATTAACTCGAAATCGTGCATTATTTGAAGTTTTCTACTATCATATACTCTGGCAATGGTACAGCGTTTGATGCGGTATGCATAAGCTTATCTTCAGTTTTCTTTATTATTGTGACGACGACATTAAATAGTATTTATAAAAAAAAACAATCTGAAGTATATCCATTTTCAAGAAAGAACATTATCTAAATTTCGGTTAAAAGTCACTAGAAGATTTTGAATGTTGATAGAATAATATCATTCTTACTAAACTATCAATTGTATTTTCGAAGATAAGATTTATCTGAATTCAGTTTATAGTTTGGTTATTATTAAAGCATAAAAAGAGTGACTCGACCGAATTAAATAAAGAAAATGACTCTATCGCTTCGTTACAACATTCTGATCGTCTACACATAGCGGAAGTTTCACACACAAAATAACGCCTGCTTTTCAAATAAAATTAACCGTGATTTTTCTAAACTAAGCAGAGAGTGCTAATTTTACAGATAGGATGTAGGCAGAATCTTTTGAGTGATGTTGACGCAGGTATTTCCTTCAGCTATATTTGCATCGTATAATTTAATTCACCATGTGATTATATTTCATTCAAAACTTAATCAAGCCGATATGATGCGTTAAATTAGAGTTTATAATAAAAGAAATTATTTAAAGGTCAGCTGCTAGAAAAAATACAGGTGGAATGGAATTTTATAATATTTATGGAAAAACAACATTTAAAAAGAATGAAAATAAGAAATTTAATAATTTAAAAATACTTTTTCATACAATATTCACAGAAGACAAAATATTTACAGTCAAATACATTTTCGGTGTACAATCGATGGTCCCGATTCATCATATTCTTTTTTTGAAATCCACATTTTTTGAAATGTTGATAATGAACTAAGGATTGAACCACCAATCCATACGCTAAGTTCTCGTATAGGTGCAGTACCGATACGAATTCTTGTATTTGACGGAGCAAGTACTGTCAGTTCCTTTTTTATTCGCTCCGAAAATCCAGGAAACATAGTTGTTCCTTCAAACAATAGATAAGTATCAATAAACATATATAGTAAGCCTACCTCCGGATAAAAGACAACTGCAATAAAATGTTGATCGTAAGTCAATATCACATTTCATAATTGTATCATAAACCATGTTAGCTATACCTGATTCTCGCCGACCAATTATTGACGGTGTGAAAAGAGCTTCTGAGCATTGAAAACGTTCGTTACCAATCTTTATTTTTTGACCATCTGGTAATTCATAGTTCTTTTCGATATCTTTTGAATGCGATGATTTCGATAATTCATCTTGAAAATCTATTGCAACATAACCGAGCTTTTCTTTCATATCTCGAACGATTTCATGTTGTGCTGTTGATGTAAACGAATAACCACGTTCAACTAAAAGTCGAATCATGAAATTCGTTAAATCTCGCCCAGCTAGATCAAGACGATTTATTGCACATGGTATAGAACAGCCTATTGATTTCTTTTTTCATAACACAACAAAGTAAAAAGATCAAATTTACCTTCATTGATTGGCATTGTCTGTGAAACTCCATCACCACTTTCAAGAATTACACCGGATGTTCTACCCAAACTATAAAACGCAAGAATACCTTGATTTGCGACGTACGTAGCTACGTATGATATGAAACAAATTTTCAACTAATTTAAACTACATGAAGTTTGATTACCTGGCGCGTGAAATTGTTCGAAAAGAATTTGTATCATCTTTTCTCGGTTTCCTATTGGATTGAATGATGCTTCAGTAATCAAAATTGGATGTTCTTCTGGTACAGTATGCAGTTCATTATAAAATGTATGATACCAAATTGTTTCCATATCATCCCAATTAGTAATAATACCATGTTCAATTGGATAACGAATAGATAAAATTTCTTTACTTTTAATTGCTTTATCTCCAATAAATGAATTTCCTTGGCACGTTTCATGTATAGATTTTTCTTGACGCCGACGACCAACTACCGTAGGAAAATTAACTCGAGGTTCATCATCACCAGCAAAACCAGCTTTAATTTTACCAGATCCATTATCAATCACTATTGCAAATAATTCATCATAGAAATTGAATTGCATTCGATATCGATAAGGACACTTATTGTTATTGTGTTATTTCAATAATATACATCTGTGTCATTTCTTGCCAACAGTTAGTTTTTTGTTTTGACATGTGGCTGAATGGATATCCTTCTAACCAATCAAGGTAGATGTTGAATCTCTATAGCCGTATAAGGTATTTTCTTTTCTATTCGTACAAACTGAGTCATCTGCATTTTGCTTTGAATATTACTTCTGAAGATGTACTATAATGATTTTACCTTTTAGTCTCTCGGATTGATTTTCCTGAACTCGCACAAGATTGGGATTTCACTGGAACAAGACGGATGTTTGAGATCGTATTTCGGCTGCAGAATTTTCAGCTCTTTTCGAATGATCTACGGCCGCTTTAGCGCGACAGAGCAGGAAATCAATCTCAAAGTATCGGAAAAAGTCTAACAGATTCTCAGTCGGCATCTGATCATACTTACAGATCTGGGTATGTGCATAAAACATGAATCAAACAAAATTATCTCTATATTTTTATAATATTGCTTCTCTTAAATTTCTTCATTATATGTGACTGAGGGGCCATCTAAATGTGAATCGACGATGGAATTCTTGTGATATTCACAAGTCTTCAATAGTTTTCAAAAGAGATTCTTGCTCATACGCTGCTTTCCGAAATCACACCTGTCTCTCTATAAATTTCAATACCCGATGACTCTTGCAAGGTGAATGCACTCCTTAACACTAACATTTCAATGCGACAGTGTTGCAATTCATTTCTGTTTTCGACATTCTTTGTAAAAGGTACTAATAGATTCACGCTAACGAAACACCTGACTTCGTAGCAGTCCTATATTTCCTATATTTTAAAAATTTATCCTATAATAGACTATATTTTGAGTTTTTTTCCTATATTCCTATTTTTTTCAAAAAATTGAAGATTCTTTTCAAAAAATTCCAAAAATTCTTGATAAGCGTTCAAAACGTTATCTAGATAATGTATATAGTACACTTTTTGCATTAATTGTCTTTGTATCAGTGTTTTATCCAGGATTTCTGGGTATGTTACATATCAGCGTCAGTACATGGGACTTAGATGGAACTTATGGGGGATCATATTGGAACTATATAATGAGGTTTTGTGGACGAAATTTTGTGATTGTAGTTCGTGAAAACAAAATAATGTTTTTGCTTGTCCGATCGGGAAATGTTTTTAACCTTTTTTGGTATTCCGCCTTTTAGAACTTCATAGTAAGCTACATCGAATTTCATCGAAAAATAAGCATGCGTTCAGGAGTTATAATGTTGTGAATTTTTTTCAAATACTGCCAAAATTTTAGCAAAATTTCAAACCGTTATAACTCCTGAATGGATGCTTATTTTTCGATGAAATTTGAAATCTGTCGATGCAATTCGATGTAGCTTTCTATGAAATTCTAAAAGGCGGAATACCAAAAAATGTTAAAAACATTTCCCGGTCGGACAAGCAAAAGCATTATTTTGTTTTCGCAAACTACAATCACAAAATTTTGCCCACAAAACCTCATCAATACTATTCTTATCTGGTTCTACATTTCATCTTTTATTGTAAAATTAAAATTTTGAACTTGATTTTACTGATTCTGTTCATGTTGAAATTAATGCCACCATATACGAAGTTTCGTCCGCACTGATTGAGCAACACAGACTCTGAATGCCGTAATGTGAAAAATGTACTCTATGTAACACACATGAAAGAAAAGCTCATTGAAATCATTGGGGTGTGGGTGTGTGGATGGGTGTTGATGTGAATGTGTGAGTATTTTTGTTCAGAAACCCACCCACACCCTATATCGCATGTATATGTCCAACAGTTGAAAATAAATCGAATATAAATTAGTTTTTTTTATGTTTTAAGAAAATCTTGCTGCTCCATTACTTTTCAAAACTCAATAATATTTTTATTTAGTTGATTAGATATATCTGCAAAAACAACACATTATCATCTTCAATGCTGCTGCAGTGATTTTTCGGTGTCTAAATCTTTTTCTAGAACAAATTTGCATCCTATATTTTTCCTATATAGCTGAGGGCGATCCTATTTATTTTAGACCTATCCTATATAGAAAGTCCTATATTTTTTGAGAGGGCCGCTGCGATGCCAGCGAAACACTCGTGATGCGAGAAGAATAATGCTTATACAGTTTCATCTTTCTCTTACAAATAGATCAAATATGAGCTCGATGGATGATGAGGATTTTTTTTATGATTGCTTACGAATTACAGGCAATAAATGACTTCCAAGATCGAGCAATTCAACAGTAGGAACCAATCGGAACCCATCGGATCCGACTCGCATCCGGTAGGATCTTATCGGATTTTGTCGGACCCTACAGAACTATCATCGGATTCCGGGTTCCGGATCCGAAGTTAGATCCTAAGTGCCGGATTCCTATGAATCCCAAAGCAGCACCGCTGGATGTCATCGGAAGTTCAATGGGTTCCGACCAGTGGTTCCGACGTCAATTCCTCGACCAGGAATCCTATAAGATTCTGTCGGATGATAGGATACTATCAAATTCCTATCGGATTCGGTGTAGGATTTCTCGATCTGGGTTATTTCGTATCAGGTATTTATTATAGAATACAAAAGACTTCTCTCTGGTATCATAAGCATTTTCAATAAACGATTGAGGAACCGAAATCATTGGCCACACAGTCACCTAAATTTCAGCAAAGACTACAGTCTTTTTTTTAAATTATAAAGCTATATCGCTAATGATATTATACTTGATAAGACCAATAGACACAAAAGATCTATGCACATACTCTCAAGTCACCACTGTCTCCATCCAAAGAAATAGACATTTTCAATCGCAATCTATGATCACACCCTTTTTTAATTTGATTACAAATTTTCGAGAAAAAAAGACAAATAGCGGTATTAATATAAAGATCTTTATCTCTTCTTTCTCATCAGGTGTTTGACTTTCGGGTATGTTTAATAGCGAAAATAAATAATTTACTCTAGAATAAATTCTGAAAGAAAGATTTATAGATTTATATGGTATGAATAACATGCTATAAATGACATATATTGTCAAATACTAAATACATGCAGCGCTCATCAGGAAAGAAATATCATCATGAAATCTTCAAAAGAAAAGTGTCATACTGAACCTTTTCAAGGTTCTAGACTTCAGAAACATTTCGTGATGTATATTTTTTGTCCATTTTGTCAAATTTAACTTGGCATCTATTACAAAAAGAAAATTTTAAAACAACAAGATTCGTAGGTTGAGAACCTTAAGACCGATATGCAATTTTTTAATCGAAAACTAAATTTATTCTGATATGTAAGGTGCACCCAATGCAAAATTCAAGTAAAATTTTGTTTTTGTTTTTTAATACATCATTTGATAGAGCAGATGACGGCGATCACGAATATCTGGTTTAAAAGTTTTTTAGATGCTGTCTTGGGTCCGAAAAATCAGAAATACTTTTGGTCTCTGAAAAACCACTTCTTCAGTAGTTTTCCATAAAATGTGATTTTTGAGACTCAAGACATAGTCCATTTAACTTAACAAGGACATATTCGTGTTCAGCGTGAAATCCTGAATTAGAATATGTCATTAATAACTTTCTGGACACTAACCGTGGCCTGGTAGGGTCGCTACAATGAAGTCTTCAGAAACCCTGAGTACCCCTTCTTCCAAACTTTTCACTGGTTTCAGTTTTCATGCTAGAATAGATTTTCTTGCGTCAATCGACTCACCAGATCATTCTGCAGAGAATTATACGAGTAGATTTTCGAAATTTGTTTCCTTGGTTGAAAAAATCGAACTTTACCAAAAACCTATGCTAAAACTAAAAACTCACTTTTCAGATTGTCCTTGATTTTCAAGATATGAAACCCAAAAGATTGCCAAGTAGGTAATCAAGCATGGGGAATCCAACGGACATCCTACTGCAAGCTCTATATGGTTCTCTAGGGGTTTTTCAAAGTACTTAGCAGTGGTTTTGAGGGATTTTTCACCAAATACTGAGATTCGAAAGAAACTGAGTATCGCGGGAAGCTTTCGAGTTCACCAATTTCGGTAATTTTCGCCGTTTCTTGCAGATTTTGACGTAACACTTTTAGTTCCAATAAATAATATCTATCATACCTCGAATGTCACCTCGTGAACAGCATTCGAAATCGATCTCGTATGCATTTCTACGCAAGAGAACCATTGAAAGTCACGACTGCAGTGGCTCATCAGAAGCAGGCGTTGATTCAGAAACCAATGACACGAGCCGGGAGCGATCGAGGTAATTCAAAGAAGAAATTACAAATACTGATTTGTCTGTTTTGTTTGAACTTTGCCAGGCGAAATCCCCGCTTAAATATCTAAGTGTTTTATTGTATATGACTTTGCGCAAGTTCGCGGTCAACTGTAGAGACTGCGATATTTTCTTAAAAGAAATCGGTGGGTAGCTTTAATGCAGGCGAAATCTTTGATTCAGAGTATTCTTCTTTGCATTTTAGGTGCAATCACTGCAGAAACTGCGCACGACTGGGCTGAAGTGTTCAGCTCAAATGATCTAGATGAATTTGATTGTTAGAATCGTGGTGGCAAATATTCAGCCAAATTTTATGATTCTTCCCGGTAAAGATCTTTAGAAACCCTTCTAAATGCCTTCAAAAACCCCTAGATAACCATATAGAGCTTGCAGTAGGATGTCCGTTGGATTCCCCATGCTTGATTATCTACTTGGCAATCTTTTGGGTTTCATATCTTGAAAATCAAGGACAATCTGAAAAGTGAGTTTTTAGTTTTAGCATAGGTTTTTGGTAAAGTTCGATTTTCTCAACCAAGGAAACAAATTTCGAAAATCTACTCGTATACTTCTCTGCAGAATGATCTGGTGAGTCGATTGACGCAAGAAAATCTATTCTAGCATGAAAACTGAAACCTGTGAAAAGTTTGGAAGAAGGGGTACTCAGGGTTTCTGAAGACTTCGTTGTAGCGACCCTACCAGGCCACGGTTAGTGTCCAGAAAGTTATTAATGACATATTCTAATTCAGGATTTCACGCTGAACACGAATATGTCCTTGTTAAGTTAAATGGACTATGTCTTGAGTCTCAAAAATCACATTTTATGGAAAACCACTGAAGAAGTGGTTTTTCAGAGACCGAAAGTATTTCTGATTTTTCGGACCCAAGACAGCATCTAAAAAAACGTTTAAACCAGATATTCGTGATCGCCGTCATCTGCTGTATCAAATGATGTATTAAAAAACAAAAACAAAATTTTACTTGAATTTTGCATTGGGTGCACCTTACATATAAAATAATTCAGGATTTTGTTTTTATAGAAAAAATCTTCTGAGCTCTTCAAACATGGCTTTACTTGAAGTAATTTATACGACTCCTTTTTATTGAACGTAATCTTATTGCCGCGAACAGCTCACTAAAGATATTGAATGATTTAATAGGTATATATGTATCGGATCATTAACTGTTGGAAATTATTGTTCTTACTCTATATCATATATGATTATAAACTTCATTCTGAAAAAAAAATACATAAACAAAATAGCACGAAAAATAATGTGGCATTAAAATGACGCACAGCTAGAGACAAAAAAAGCAATAAAAAGAAACTTTACATTTTATATTAAATTAATTCAAATTTTTTATTTATTAACTTTCTTTTTTAATATTTACAGCAAAAATTGGATGTTGACTAAAATAAATAAAATTTATTTCAGTTTGAATAATTTTTTCCTTCTTTTCCAATATTTCGTCCTACCTATTCGAACACTGTCAAAGACGTTGATTTTGTTGTTCCTTGTATTGGTATCTAGCATCGCTCTTTTTTTCAGCATCTCCTTTGACCTCAACCTGATGTTGTTTTTCTTTACTATTTCCATGATCTTATGTGATTGTTTCTTTTTCATTTTTTTTCTTTCTGTTGCATTATTCAAAATGAAAATTTTTTTAACTAGAATATTCATAAACAATATTTGAATCGTGACAATTGCATACCCAGATTCATCAAAATGGATATCGTTTACAGTTTGTTTTCGTGAATACGAATAAATGGTAAAAAACTATGACTTCACAGAAGTAGAATGCCTGTATTTCTTGTGATGACGTGGTAAGACAGATTTATACGAAATGATATTTTAGTCGAGCATAGTTGTATATGTGCCGTAATCTCACTGTAACATAGTAGTATTTTTGACTCAAGTATTATATCCACCTGCAGTTTGTTTATAGATTGAATTTTTTCTGTCAACAACTTATAGTTCTTAATCTGGTAACTAAAAGAATCGGGTACCTTCATTAGATGTCACGTAGAAATCGCAGTTTTTATAAATTACAGAGTTTCTGGATAGAAAAAAAGATTTTTCAAATAAAAGATAGTTAATAATTACACTGACTTACAAATTTAACATCAAGAAAGAAATTGGATAGATGATTCGTTCTTCAAAAGATTTTGATAACATAAAACTTATCTGAACCACTATAAATATCACAATAAGAAGATTACTGCGATTAAGTATAATACTTTGATACTATTTTTTAGTGTAACAGAATCAGTGTCTATATTGCGATGTTTCTTCTCTGGAGCATAGTATTTTATAAATCTTCATTAACTTTTTAATATCTAAAACAATCATTTATATTCATACAACACGTTAAAAAAGAATTCTCGTATTTAATTCATAGTCATCATCTCCGCTGAAACATTTGAATTCTTTCTCCGATGAAGCCGTTGAGCTTGTACAAATTTCACGTGGCTCATTCTTTATGATAAGAGAAACAAACGGTTGTCTATTATTTGAATAAAACTAATGTAATGTAATAGTATGATATGTCCAATCAAGATTCACTAAATGTAAATGCAAGTTTTCTTTTATTATGAAAATGATAAGGTTCTGTAATACGTTACACGGCGGAAAATTATTAGATCAGTAACTACTTCAACGGTACACGCTTGTTTTTCTAATCTTTTCTGTTCGTATAAACTGTATCATCTACATTTGCGTTTAAGATATTACTTCTAATAAACGATAGACACAGCCAGGGATCTCGATTAGGGGGGGGG